CAAATGTCAAATAACATTTGAGTCTTTGAGCGCTAAGAAACTCAATAACAGGTTTATCTCAGTTTACTTTAATTTAGGCGCTGCGTTCAAACGGAATTAAGACTTTCTTCGGCAGCACTAAAAAAATGTACTTTGCCTTATTTTTCGCTTCTTATCGGGTGCTACGCAGCAGTGGCAGCAATGAAGGTAGTAGACAAAATACGTAAAAGTAATGCTTAATTTTATTGTTTCTACCGAAACTTTTCTTTTTTCAAATCTGACTCATTGACTCATGACTCATGACTAAAACTTTAATTTTCCATGACTTTCAAGGACCAAAAATTAAATTCCATGACTTTCCAGGCCCTGAAAATGAAATTCGTAAATTCCATGACTTGCCAAGTCTTCCATGACCTGTACGAACCCTGTATTAATTCAAAGTGGACAGACTGCAAATTATAGTAGTTGCTAAAAAATATATGTCTACGTGTCGCAACTGTTCATCAGTAGGATGCGTAAAATGCGTGCAATTCCACAATTGGTGTCGGCACCATTAAATCCTATACCAATTGCAGAACATTTTAGGACGAGCCACCCACCATGTGAGCACAGTCACGGACAACACATATAAAATTGTTATTAACGAATTTATTCGAATAAGCGCCCAACCTCGAATTAGCGCCCACCTCAAATAAGCGCCCATCCTAAAGGCAGAAAAAGTTAATAAGCGCCCACCCCACCCCACCTTCCTCCCACTTAAACTAGAATAAGCGACCACCCCCACCCCACCCCCCCGAAATTGAATAAGTAGTAATAAGAGACTTCCCCGAAGACGGAGTTTTCTTCAAAGTATTTTACAGGAACCTTGCTTTAATACATCTTCGCGTTTTGTCATTACCATCTCTTGTTTTGTTGCAAATAAACATACTACACTTGCTGAAAATGCTGAAATTTAATAAGCGCCCACTCTTAAGGTCCAAAAATTTAATAAGCGCCCAAGTATGATTAAAAAAGTCTAAGAGCGAGTCACTTACTAAAAAATCCAGAGTGCTTTCAAACTCAGTGGCTTTTACATGACAGATTTCCTTTCTTCCTTAGAACAGATGAGTAATCTTGCCACCACACTGGATCCTTCTAATTTCAAGATAAGATATGAGAGATGATAACAAGTACAAAGAGTTACGATTTACACTCAAATCAATGTTGACATAAAGTCAAACTGAAATTGAAAACCAATGTATCGCCATCGATAAGGAGTCTCTTAATTCCACTGATGATCTGCTGTATGAAATGCCGTCCTTCAAGGATTTGTGCAAAGGAACCATTTGAAGATCGATGATCACATCAAGTGTAAAGAACTTAAAGAAACAGTCAGATGAAAGCTGACCAGGTAGCCATGTTGGGTATCCTCGATTTCCTGTAGTTGGATGGTGGGTTTGCCGATTGGCAGATTGACACCACAGCAAAAAGGGCAGGCATCAGAGATGCTTGTGTAGTTGAAACTACAGATAGGGAAGAACGGTTAGTATGAATTTCTGGTTTCCATACTTAGTGGTTTATTTGTTGATCCATTCTATGATATCCGATCTCTTGTGTTCTGCAGAATAAGTGACACAGGCTTTTGCCGAAACGGTTCATTGGCCAACACCACTACACCTTCCACAAGTTCAGTTTTCAATGGAATCTGGTCATACACAAGTGTCCAGCCACCGTTTGAAACACAATCTCATACAAGTAGTGTCTTCCACAAGTTTCCAGTCAGATATCTGGAATGTATGGGGCAGCATCAACGATGCAGTTGTGGATCAATGATCACAATAAGTGTAAAGAAACAGTCAGTATGAGAACTGACTAGGTAGACATGTTAGCATGGGTATCCTGAATTTCCTGGAGTTGGATGGTGGGTTTGCTGATGGCAGGTTGACACCACAGTAAAAAGGGCAGGCACCAGGGATGCTTTGGTAATTGAATACTACAGATAGGGAAGAACAGTTAGTATGAATTTCTGGTTTCCATATTTACCGGTTTATTGGCTGACAAGTTCTATGATACCTGATCTCTTGTGTTATGCAAATTAAGTGACACCAGCTTTAGCCAAAATGGTTCATCGGCCAAACACCACTACACCTTCCAAAAGATCAGTTTCAATGGAATCCGGCCATACACAAGTACCCACCCACCGTTTGGAATCCAATCTCATACAAGTAGTAATTCTTCCACCAGTTTCCAGTCAGAGATGTGGAATGTATGGAGCAGGCATCAGGGATGCAGTGTTGGATCAATGATCAAAACAAGTGTAGAGGAACAGTCAGTACAAAAACTGACTGAGTTAAAGCAAGTATCCTGGAAGTGATAACCCACTTGGCATGTTTGAAAGAGCAAAAGAAAACCTTGTAAATCACTTTCCTTCAGCTCATTATTTACTAGCTATTTCAAGTGGGTTACCATGCAGGTAAACCTACAGCAAAATGGACTATTGATTTTATAAAATAACCTTTCCATTTTATTTTTAAAATTATGGCAGTAACGAAAAACTGAAAATCAGCGATAAAATGTGGAAACAACTGCTTAATTGATTAAAAGAAAGAAGCTAAGAGCTGGCCAAGTAAACTGTTCTCTTTTCAAGCTTTCCTAAAAGCGATGTTTTGGATCAATATGTATAGCTGGTTTTATGTATGACTTGTGGTCTAGATCTCACTAGTGATATGTGTTTCATTACCTCCTCCTCTTCCTGGGTAAGGGAACACATATCACTAGGGATATGTGTTTTTCTGGGTAGGGGAACACATATCACTAGGGATATGTGTTTCCTGGGTAGGGGAACACATATCACTAGGGATATGTGTTTCCTGGGTAGTGGAACACATATTACTAGGCATATGTGTTTCCTGGGTAGGGCAACACATATCACTAGGGATATGTGTTTCCTGGGTAGGGAAACACATATCACTAGGGATATGTGTTTCCTCAATGGGGGAACACATATCACTAGGGAAATGTGTTTCCTGTGTAGGTGAACTCATATTACTAGGAATATGTGTTTCTCAGGTAAGGGAACACATATCACTAGGGATATGTGTCTCTGGGTAGGCAAGGGAACACATATCACTAGGGATATGTGTTTGAGCACTAGGGGAACACATATTTCTAGGGATATGTGTTTCCTGGGTAGGGGACCACATATCACTAGGAATATGTTTCCTGCGTAGCGGAACACATATCACTAGGAATATGTGTTTCCTGGGTAGGGGAACACACATCACTAAGGATATGTGTTTTGTGGGTAGGGGAACACATATTACTAGGGATATGTGTTTCCTGGGTAAGGGAACACACATCACTAAGGATACGTGTTTCCTGGGTAGGGGAACACATATCCCTAGGAAAATGTGTTTCCTGGGTAGGGGAAAAACATATCACTAGGGATATGTGTTTCCTCGGTAGGGGAACACATATCACTAGGGATATGTGTTTTCTGCTTAGGGGACCACGTATCACCAGGGATATGTGTTTCCTCGGTAGGGGAATACATATCACTAGAGATATGTGTTTCCTGGGTAGGGAAACACATATCACTAAGGATAAGTGTTTCCTGGGTAGGGGAACACATATCACTAGGGATATGTGTTTCCCGGGTAGGGAAAAAAATATCACTAGGCATATGTGTTTCCTAGGTAGGGCAACACATATCACTAGGGATATGTGCTTCCTGGGTAGGGGAACACATATCACTAGGGATAGGTGTTTCCCGGGTAGGGAAAAAATGTCACTAGGCATATGTGTTTCCTAGGTAGGGCAACACATATCACTAGGGATATGTGCTTCCTGGGTAGGGGAACACATATCACTAGGGATATGTGTTTCCTCGATAGGGGAACACATATCTCTAGGGATATGTGTTTCCTGGGTAGCGGAACACATATCACTAAGGATATGTGTTTCCTGGGTAGGGGAACACATATTACTAGGAATATGTGTTTCCCAGGCAGGGGAACACATATCACTATTGATATGTGTGTCTGGCTAGGGAAACACATATCACTAAGGATATGTGTTTCATGGGTAGGAGAACACATATCACTAGGGATAAGTGTTTCCTGGGTAGGCGAACACATATCACAAGGGATATGTGTTTCCTGGGTAGGGGAACACATATCACTAGGATATGTGTTTCCTGGGTAGGGGAACACATATCACTTGGGATATTTGTTTCCTTGGTAGGGGAACACATATTACTTGGGATATGTGTTTCCCGGGTAGGGGAACACATATTACTAGGGATATGTGTTTCCTGGGTAGGGAAATGGATTTCACTAAGGATATGTGTTTCCTGGGTAGGGGAACACATATCACTAGGGATTAAATTTTTGCCCAAAATTAGAATTCAACACCTTTGAAAAACAAAGATGTTATTTGGCAATTATATACGTTCGTTATTTCTCTAGTCTGAAGGAGGGTTGTCATGTTTCTAGAACGTCACCAAACGTTATTGGAAGGCCGATTTTTCTGCAATACCTGACCATTTTAGTTTTTTATTTCTAAAGTCTAAAAAGGATTGTTACGTATTTAGAATACCATTAATGATTATTTTAAGGCTCATTAGCAAAAAATTCCGCGATGTTTTGGTCAAAATCATGGGTTAACCGCTTGGGGAAAAATTCAAGATGACCAAAAAAATTTTAGTTTGGGGTCTTGTCTCTCATTACCACTTCAAAATACATCAGCAAACATTTTTTAAGATTTATTTTTAATATACACAGAAATACAATAAATGTTTCATTCTGACTAACAATGTATAATTATAGCATTCTAAAACATTACCAAACATCCTTTTCTGTCCTCTTTTAACCAAGAACAACCAAATCAGCACTTTTAAATTTTGACCTGTGATCATGGGTTAACTTCTTTGGGAAAAGTTTAAAATGGATGCCAGCGACAGCTCAAAATCGTGGTACTTATATTCTGTGATATAAGACTAAGGTGAAAGGTCATTTTCCAGGTCGTGTAAACTGCACACACGCCTTCAGTTGCGTTGATAAGGCTTTTGCCTTGCCACTCTTGTATTCTTCATACCATTAGAGAGCTTTAGATTCTAAGATGAGAACGACTGTAAGAACGAGATTTTCCCAATAAAAAGTAGTGCACGCGCACGAACCAACGGGAAAACATGGTAGCACGTCGTCAATCTACTACGAGTTTTAGCGAGAATGTCGTGGTGGGAAAACAAGTTACCAAATGTTAGGAATTTTATCATTCAGCGATTGCGAGAGGGCTTTACCTCCATCAACGGAAATACGCGAAGTAACTTTTGCGGTGAAAAAAAGTACATTGATGCTTTCCGGGGTGTCGTTTTTTAGAGAAGAGGCCGGAAAACTTGAAATTAAATGTCGTCCTTGTAGCTGTCCTCGTCCCCGCATCTAAAGCTCTCTATTAACGAAGTATGGAAGACGATTGCGGTTTCTCTCAGTTTCTGGTTCAACGGCGAAAATCATTTCAGGTCTATTTTCCAGTGCTAGAGAGGCTGCTAGAATCACCTTGGACATCGCTAACCTTAGGCGAGTCAGCTAACGATCCACTAGACGCAGAAGATATCTGACAACAAACAGAGAACAATGTAAACGTTACTGTACTGCAGGGACAATAAGAACGTAATTGCTTGGAAAGGAACATGGGAAAAAGACATTTGACACTTTTTGATTTTTAATGGAACATCATCCCATCAGCTAATTAAGTACAAGTTTCACACATCCCTGATGGTTTTAACGTTCAATATTCCGAGCACTTAATGGCAAACACGAGACGCAATGCTTCATCACATATCAAACACCAAGGAGATAGTAGGAAATACAACGCGTAGCAGAATTTTTTTGTACTTGATATCAACCATTTGCAGGTTGTCCGAAAGATGGAGTCACGGTTGTGTTGAATTGAAATATAGGACTGGCTTTGAAGACGAATTTTGACCTTTTTTTCTTTTCTCAACTTGGATACGGTCTATTCTCGACCCCAGTGCTTACGGGTTTGGGAATCCTCTACATGCACAGAAGAGCTCTGGGTGGAGATTGAGAGACGGTCTTTTAGAATTAAACTCCAGAAAAATTCGCCAACATTTGAAAAATTGACAGAGATGGAGTGATAGCAAAGTTTGAAGTCACCGTTTGTGTGACGTTATCGTTGCCGTCAGTGTCGTCTATGCTAAAGATCCCTGATAAAAATTCCCAAAACAGTCCCATAAAGCAACTCGACACAACACAAATCCAGCTTCACGCACAACCTTCAAATGGCCGTGATGAAACTCTGTTTCAAGTGTTTGATGTAACTTCTAACTAAAGACGATTTCCAAGGATCTGCAAGAAAATGAAGAATCCCTTTGGAGATCCTGATCCATAACGATTGTCTTTGGCTTTTTTTAATTTTTAGTAGTAACGAGTTGAGAAAAACCGGTCAATTATTCATGTTTTATCTTATGTCAGAATCAGTCAGACAATTCTAGGAATTTACCTTATAGAAAAGACCATTTAGTGGGGGTGTTGACTGCAGTTGGATTATAATAGACCTTACTGGCGATACTTGCCCAAAAGCAATGTATACAGACGTTTGTATGATGGGAGGCCAAGTTTGTGCCCCCTACCATAAAAACGTCCGTAAAATTTTCCCGGGGGGGACTCCGTATATGAAAGGGGTGGGGATGCTCGTCGGAAATTTTGAATTAAACCCCTAAAGGAGACCGATCTGGAAGGAGCCCAAGCTTTTTTGACCCCTAAAAGAGACCATAATAAAACACAGACAATATATATTTTTCGCGTGCAACCCTAAACGAGACCTTCATGGCTAAATATGATGGCGTTTTGCCCAGCACACGCTAAGTGAGACCAACATCCGAGATTTGTACCCCTAAGCGAGACGACGAGCATCCCCACCCCTTTCGTATGGGGAGTCTCCCCACCCGGGAAAATTTTGCGACCTTAAGGAGTTATATCTTTGTTAGTTTTCAACAAATCACTTTCTAGCCTGTTCACAGACCCTCTATTTTCTCTGCAAAGTCCGTCGAGCGCGGCAGGTGATAAAATATAAACCGCAGAGAATTTATTGGCCGTCATTGGGCGCACTCGCTTCGCTCGCTAGCTCGCCGACGTTTTCGAAAAGATCGAAAAGAAAAATCAAACGTCTGTGTACAGGCTAATCACTTTCAAACTAGGCCATCATACTAATCTTAAGCCGCTTTTTTCCGTGGTGTCGACAAATTTTCCCTAACTTGTCCATGTCAAAAGTTGAAAAAATAAGAAAAGGTCTATTGCCATTATAGTTCTTCATTTTCTGTTGTCTACAATAAACAAACTCGACCGCGATTTCTTGTATTGGCAGATTTGATTGCTTGTTTCCCCCTGAGAAACCACGTGACATTGCTTTTATCCCATCAGCCCTTAAGCCCTTAAAAGATGGCAGGTATCGTGAATAAGGTCTATTCAGAACAAAATAAATAAAAAATAAATAAATGCCTATTAATTTACCGTAGATGACATCAGTGCATTGACGCCACTAGCTGAGGATGAATCATCCAGTTTTTCGGCCCTGCCAAGGTGCGCACTTGTTGTCGACCCAGTCTCTTCGCTGCCTGACAAAGGACCTTGAAAGGAAACGAAGTAAATAGTGAACCAGAATTTAAAGCAACTTCCCCTTGTCACACAGAGGTTTTGTTAATTTCAAAATGGGAGAGAGAGAAAAGAGAGAAGAATATTTCTTTCAAGTTGTACGATAATACCCTTCTATAAAATGTCACTGGTCACATCAAGGTCCCGCCTTTGATATGAGAATCTTCTGTTATCGTACATTGGTTCACTACCGCGTCTTATTTCTAGGTACAGACTCGTTTTGCTGTGAATGTTCCCTTTAGTAACAGCGTTTCAACAGCGCACGCGTTAAAATGACGCATGCGTAATGGAGCGTTTTCTCTCACGTGGCTGGCATTTATGCAAATTTATTGCAACAAAAGAAAGTATCTACATTAGGAAAGAGTTTAGACTACGAGTAGACCCCATTTTTCCTCAGGGATAGTAGGGCGAGCGAAGCACGAGCGCGCGTGAAAATCACCCCGCCTTTCTCGCTTGGGGTGAATTTCACGCGCGCTCGTGTTTTCAGGATTTGTTTAGAAACCAACATGGCCGCCATTTCGTTGTTTTGGAACACCAGTATGGCCATCATGGCGTCATGTGAAAACGCTCTATATGCACAAGACGCGAAGCTCATTTATACGAGACTTGCTTCGTCTTAGCAAAGACTCGTCTAACTCAAGAGCAGGTGTCCTTCTAAGACGGAACGTGTCTTAGTTAAGTCACGCCATATTTTATATTTCGCATTTTGTGTGAAAAAAAGTCTTGCTGAGGGCGTGTCTTATTTTCCCTAGTACAAATGGCCCTAATAAAGCCTCTCCTTAGTCGTCTTAATTAATTAGGTACATTCATGAGCGCTCTAATGATACGTGCAATAACTGAATCAAATCAATCCAAAAAAATGGTTGTCTGTTATCACCAATTTCAGGAAGACTTAGATCCTGTTTACATGGAGTGGGGGATCCCGGTTTAGTGGGGTAGGTTTCTTTTGTTTTGTGTCCCCGTCCCCAAGAGCGTGAAAACAAAAGAAACCAACCCCACTAGACCGGGGTCCCCCACTCCATGTAAACAGGCCCTTAGTGTCATAATGCAACTCTTGCCAGGATCCTCATGTAAATTCTTAAGACTGGTCTCCATGCATTTCCTCAAGAAAATACTTAGGAGAATCTAATAAAAGATCAAAGCATTTTTTTTCCTTTTGCGGACATTGCATTGGTTCTCAGTTCCTTTTCTCTTAACGATGTATTGATATTGTTTGAAGAAAATAGATGTTGGTCATTCTTGGGACTTAAGGCCTGTTTACATGAAGGTGGGGGACCCCAGGTAGGTGATGTAGCCTGCTATAGATGGGGTTATTCTCCTGTCCATATAATCCCTCATTTTAATTTGATCACGTTTACATTATAGGTGGGGTGAGTAGACACATGTTACCTCACCTACCTGGGGTCCCCCATCTGCATGGAAACGGGCCCTTCAAGGGTTAGTACCGAACACAACGTACACGAGCACAGCATTTTCTCAGTCAAAAGAAGGATAAAATAACTGTGGTCTTTTTTATTGTGAACTTTAAAAACCAAACAGCAAAAATTATGAATGGAAGTAAACGAAATGACTCATTTTTTGAACTGCGGATAAGGATATGAATTCAAAGTGGAAATGATCCACGTAGTTGCATAAAAAACCTAAGCGGTTGAAAAAGAACCTGAAAAGAACATCAGGCTTGACCGGAATCGAACCCGACCTTTCAAGATCTAGACAAGCCAACTGGAGAGCAAGCCATTGTAAGTTCCTAATATACCCGAAGGTGGGGATGGCATGAATGGAAATATTTAATTCTATATTACATTTCCTCAAAACCTGGAAAAAACTACTCTTACCGATATATTATTAAAATATATTTATATTTCCATTCAGGAAGTCTGTGTTTCGATTTTTCCGTAGTAGAGTTCCAATATTTATATTTCCATTCATATATTAATTAGATGAATGGAATGGCTCAATGGATAGAGCATTGCGTCCGGTCATCGCAAAGATCAGTGTTCGATTCCCGGTCAAGCCTGAATTTTTTCAGGTTCTTTTTCAACCGCTTAGGTTGTTTATTCACTTATGGGGATCATTTCCACTACCTTAGAAACAACTATGATAACGTCGGCTAACAGCATTTCTCAAGGACTTACTTTTATAGCCTGTGACCTCTGGAAATACATTGTCCTCTTCTTCCATCTCAGGGAGTACAGCGTCCCTACCTAACGTTCCCGCAGAAGGCAAGGTGCTTGATCGTGACAGCACATACCATGGTTTTCCATCTGAGCCCCTCGTCCAACGTGACCCTGATAGGATTCCAGTAGGCCCATTAGCACTGGAAAATTCAGCGCTTGGTTCTTTAGGGGCGTGCGAATGTGCAACATTCAGGGGCCCTTTTGAAATCATGGATAATGGACCACTTGTGGCTCCGGCCCTGAGGGATTTATTGTCAGATTCGTCACTCGTAGATGTCAATCTCGTCATCATTTCCGTCAACTCTGACAAAGAAGACAACGTTGAGCCTGCGCTACCTAGGAAATGTCGACCAGCAGTGTTACGTGGAAGCGATAAGTACTCTGTACTGGACCCGTAGCTCCATCCGCTTGTGGAAACAGGCTTCGATGTATAGCTGACTGAAGTGACAGGGATGGAACTGTCACTTGTGGTCAGTGTCTTTTCTAATGTGTTCAGTCTCTGAGAAATGTCCCGTAATCTGTCTTGTCCTCTTATCCCTACAGAATTTGCGATTAAGCCTTGATTTTCTTTGTTTTGGTCCAAACCAAGCACCCCTGCGTCATCACCCCGCAGGTTCGATAAAAATGGCGAGCTTAAATGGGGCTCTGACTGTGGAGCATTTGTGCTTGATATCACTGGGGCCTTATATGTTTGAGATCCTGGACCTTCGAAGGAGGAGCTCTTAAACTTGTCACTGTATCGCCGGATTCGTTTTCTTTGGGCTTCAAAAAGCTGGCGTTCCTCCTCTATTTTTTGCTTATAGTAGTCCAAATATCCGGTGGAATAAACCGGACTGGCCAGCTGAGAAGCAGAGGAATGTGAAACTGCTGTCGCTCCTCCTGATAGACTTGTAGTTGCAAACGTTAATGGATTAATCCGAGAAGGCTCTGTTACGGCTCGAATGCTAGATACTGGAGAAGGCGAAACAACTGAGAAACGAGTTTGAACGTCGGAGCCCGAAGTCAGCACAGGGAAAGAGCGAATGTTTGACGAAGGCTCTCGAGAAAGCCCGAGATACTGTGAAGTCTTCGTAAGCAATGATGTTGTCGCTGTAACGCTGGCTGTGTCACCAACGTTAGGGAAAGGAATTGTACGTGGCTGAGTACTTGAATAAAGAGCATGATCAGAGAAACGAGATGTCACAGTGTGTGACGCAGCAGCTGTCACGCTAAGGTCAGAAGACAATGTCACGCTTAATGAAAGAGTGGAAGGAGTTGATATGTTAACAAGCTCCTGGGATTGAAGAGTCGGAGTGCTTCTAGGGGAAGCGTCCCTCTCTGAATGGGTGTGGCTGCTAAATGGCACATCTTCCAGTGCTGCTCTACTGAGCTCCTGCAAGACGTCTCTCTCCTTTTGACGCATTTCAGCTGCCCTGTCTGCAGTAGCTCGGGCCGCTGCCAGTGTCCTTTCAAATTCTGAAGGAAGAGCAGCCTCCGTTTCATTCGATGTTGCACTGCTGAGGGTTGATGACTCAAGAACGTCCGACATCAGTGGGGACCCCTCGTGTGATGTGATGGTAGGGACCCCAGGCTGGGCCTGAGAGGTCTGTCCACGTCTTGGTCCCTGAGAAACAATCAACCAAATTCGCCAATATTTTAGGAAACCAATTATCACTTCAGGAACCTCAAGCTAGTCATCACAATCCGCGCTTCTTTTGGGATTTCAGACTGAGATTTGTTTTAGTTTCTCTTAGTTTGGGACGACTGCTTTGATCTGTCTTCACTATAGTAGATCCCCCATTTAAGGAACCTGGACAAATGTCCCCAGAATACAGGTGTCCCTTCAATAGAAGTAACTGATACAAAGATTATCATATAATGGCACCTCCATTCAGGGGATGCCATTGGTTCGAGGACAAGTGTCTCCTAAATAGGGGTGTCCCTTCAATACAGATAACTAGGGCGCTTTCCATTAGTCAGAACTGAACGGCCAGACCATTCCCGTTGCAATGACATCCTCCGTTTTAGTCAAAACTATCTAGCCAGATCAATCAAATCCTAAATAGTATGCACGAAGGAGATGAGTTTTTTTTAGCAAAACCTCTTGGAAAAAGCCTATATCATTTTCAAACAGACTGGTCGGGCCATGGTCCGGGCGACCAGTTCTAACAAATGGAAAGTACTCTAAGATGAACAATTTTGGGGAAAAAGGTTTGTGTCCCTTGAATGGAGGAACAAGCTTGACAGGATTCAAGACTGGAAAGAGACTGGTTTCATTTTAATCGCCACAGTGGCTAAAACGCGTCTAGCGATTAATGCCACAATTATCGCTTAGGTGCTGTTGCCATATCATAGCAACGATTGCAACAAACAACCCTTCGCTTACAGAGTCTTCAAGAGACGCAACTCCTTCATAAGGGGCTCCAGTAGGAAATGGTTCCTCCAGGGGCATATGCTCATCAGGGACCCGGAGAGTCCCTGACGGTAAGGGTCCTGCTGGTGCCCCAGTTGTTCCATATATATCAGCTAGCTGCCGTTGATAGTCCTGAATTTGTTGCTCCAGTTGCTGCTGTAGGAGGTTTTGCTGCTGTAGTTTTAACTTGAGTTTTTGTTGCTCAAGAAGCGCATCCTGATGGGTAACCTGTGAACAAATTCATTGAATTGGTAACCTGTGAAAAAATTCATCGAATTTGAAAAATCAAACAAGCCTTTCACACGCTTTGTGACACATCTATTGGCGAAGTTTGTCTATAATCTAGAATGATGTGTAAGATCACATTACGTACGACCTCCTTGTACAAGCCTTTGCTGTTCTGACGTCTCCTCATCACTCACTGTTTTGATCGTTCTGTATAACCCATTAAATGATAACTATAACAAAATTCTTAAGTCTTATTGGCTATCAACTGTTCTGATTTCAACACTAATAGGACAGTGTAATAGGAAAGTACGCGTCATGCCTAAGTAATCGGATAAAACGCGCCATTCCATGTGCACACCTAATTGGCTTTTTTTTTCACTGCTAGCAAAAGAAACTCGGAATTTCTTGTATTTTAATTAGAAAAAAGCCTAAGATATCACAAATTTTGTGATAGTTATGATTAATTGGCGACAGAACTTTGTATCGTCCAATTCGGTCTGTAATCATAATCGTGATTAAACAAATCGGGATTTTGTTAATCACTCGTATGATAACAGACCAAATTGGACTCCACTCAGTCCTGTTACCGTTATCTATGAAAGTGCTCTTGTTGAACTTAAACTGTTTAGTTATTCAAGATTAAGATATCTTGTATTGTAATTACGGTACTATGAATTTTATCTCAAATTGAATGACATGCTGTAATCCTACGTACGAAGAGGTAATGTAAATAAATAAATAAATAAATAAGGGAAAATAATAACTTGTGGCAACCTACTCGAACGGTAACATTTCTCCCCCCCCCCTTCCCTAAGAGATACATACTGCTCTTTCCGAGGATGTAGTAGTGCGTGACCTCTGGGCAGCTTCCAGGGGATGGAGAAGCGTCCTTATGCTGTCTGTGGGTGGGTGGGGTGCTTCACTGACGACAGGCCAGTGTGTGCCCTCAGGGCGTGGTTCATCTGCCGCATCGATAGCATGCTCTCTGCCATCTGCTTCCTCGCCAGATAATTCCGCTTCTGCTAGGCTTTCAGGAGAGGTGGAGAAAGGGATGGTTTCTGGAACTCTTTTGCAAATGTAAAAAGAAAGAAGCAGGATTACTGTTAAAGGAGATGGAAAATCGGGACTTGAGCTATTGACCGTGTAATACAAGTTTGACCTTGTTTCTCACGATGTCAGTACACTAAGAGCGAATCCATAAAAACAATTACAGAGGTTCCACTGCCAAGTTATGATACAAGTATCCCTTTAATAGAAAGCATTCATCTGAAAATATATGATCTACCTATACCCTTGATCCTCTGATGAAGGCTTTGTTGAAGGCAAAGTGCGAGGAATATCTGTAAGATGAAATAAAACTAATAATTTCCTTTAACTCCTATAGGCAAAACTTTATATATCATCTGAAAATAGGGTATGGAACAAAATACTGCTCACAGTAGTGTCCAAGGACACAAACAAACGTGCTTGAAAATCCGCAGGCCCCCGGCCCCACCCCCCTTCCCCTCCGAGCATAATAGAGGATTTAGGGGTTTCAGTAGGTTTTGCGAGGGAACGGGTTTGTGTTGTGTCGAATTGTATCATAAGAATGTTTTGGGGAAGCTATCCCATTTTCATTGGTTATTTCAGCATTCAAAGGAAACTGATTGGGGTCGTAAAAAACTGGTCAAATTAACAAAGTAGTGGCACTTTGTGATACAGAAATATGTATACATATCTTTATATTTCGGAAGTATGTGATGACAAATAAAGTTTAATTCTGGCTATCAATCTGTTGGATATCACAAATACCTCTGAAGCGGTCCTTAACGTACTTAGAACAGCTTCGAAAAAAGCTTTACTGTTTTTTTAATTTATTCTCATAAAAAATTCAACTAGTCATAGTAAAGAGGTAAAATTTCGAAACACAAAAAAGTGCATGTGATAAGGGGATAGTCACATTCACGGGGTGTGGCTATGGCAGGGTCCCTCTGTACCCCTTTTAAATGAAACTCGTTCAAATAATTTACCTGTGGACGCAGCCGCTGTTGGATGAGGTTCTTCTATCAGCTGTCTTCTTTTCCACTGGTCACGCTGCCTCTCAATCCTCTGTAGCAAACGTCTCAACGGATCTGCAGATCGAGAAATTCCAATCACAAGACCAGCCCTCTGTCACATAAGGCACTTCAAGTAGATGGGGTCAACGATGGTCACACCATCTAGCTTGGACTAAAACTTCTACACCTTATTTTAGATCATGAAATATGCTGCTGGTTCACCATTAAACTGCCTTAAACTAGACAGGTTCATGCAATGACTAAAATTGATTGTGGCTCCAAAACACATCAACTGAACAAGGTATGATCTCAACATCGTTTTGATCTCCTTTTTCTTCCGCCACGGTAAAGAAATGATCCCTGGGTCATTCTTGGAATGACTACTGAAGCCGGGGATTTGAGAAGGTGCAAAATGAATTAACCAATTCCATTAGGGGATTATTCCAAGGCTGTGGATCATTTTGGGGGCTGGGATCATTCCAGGGCCTGTACAGATTACGGTACACGTTAGCTCACATGAACCTGGATAACATTTGGTCATGCAACTGGCAGACGCCAATACTTGATGACCAGGTTGTTTTCCAACCCACTCAAGGACAGTGTCATACGGATACCAAATTGAATAAAACAAGTCAGTTTTAACTGCCATGTCAAAATCCATTCAGAGTTTGAGAATCCTACATTTTTAATACAGAGTTATACACCTATTTATACCTAGTACCTTCAGTCTGAGCTTTCGGGACATTGTCTCGAGGGAGCGCTTCTTCAGGCTCCTTTCCTGGTTCACTCCTATGCGCACCACTCTCTGTTCTCCTCCCTGGACGAACAGCAGATGGGGCCTGTTATTACAGTAAACTGAACTGTTACTCCTGAATTCATTATTATTTTTATTATTAATCTCCAAAGTGTATTGATTAATTTAGAAAGTTATGTGCGTGAAATGAGGACCTGGAGCGTAACGTCGAAACACGCACATAAGCCCACGGTGCGTACAGCTGATAATTTTATTTCCTGAAAGTATTTTTAACATTTTTATGATGGTAATATATGTGGTGGTTTGAACGTAGAAAATAGACATACCCCTCTGGCCTCGTCAGATTCCACAGACCCTCTATCAATATCTGAGGCTGCATTATTTAAAAAAAGAGCAATATTACTACATTGTCCGATTGCATTATTTGAACAATTTCTTACAAATGTGTAGTTTAAGTCTTAAGTGGCTCGAAGGAATGCATGCAAAAAGAATCCTGACAAAGGGAGCCTCTTGGGCCTCTTGCATAACCCAACTGAAATACCATAAATCCTCTATCATACCCCTCCTGGGGGTGGGGGTAGGGGGTGGTATTTAATTTAGCAAAGATGATGGTATCAGTTCTGCCGAAAGAACTAGAATACGAAGTGGAAAAGCTCAAGTACAAGAAGTTGGAGGTCAAATTGCAGCCAAGGATCACTAACAAATCTGAGCTGCCAGTTGGTGAAAAAACCATCCTAAATCCACATGACGTTTTATAGTCGTGTTTGATTAATACAGTGAAGGGAAAAATAAGAAGAGGGAGGAGTGACGGGTGGCTTAAAAGAGAGGGGGCTTATTTGAGAAGAGGCTTAATAGCGGATTTACAGTACGTCTGAGCTCCCAGGCTTATGTATATTTTAGAAACAAACAAGTCGTTGTTGTTATCAAAGGTTTGAACCCATGAGTCATTACAAAAGTAGGTTGAGTTTGATTGTGCGGGAGAACGTAGTCCTGAATAGGACTGTTGTTGACAGTGACTGACGTTTCGACAATCTGTGCGGTAGTCATCTTCAGAGTCAAAGTGAGTTATATCACGTCAGTTGATGGTATTACACTCTGATTATTGATCTGATTGGTCAAATACGTCGCGATGTTATTGGTCGTCTGTCAGTTAAGCCGTGATGTCATTGGCGATGAAGACTCTTAATCAGTAACTGTTATTATTGCAACTAACTGGAAGAAAACCAGTATGACTAAACGATGATTATAACTACCTGAGGTAGCACTGTCTTCTGATACTGCTGTCATCAAATTCTCAGGGGGCTCAAGAGCAACAGTCAAATCACCTGTGTAACCTGCAGACAGATAATTCATACACTCAGGAGGCTTTCCAAAAGTCAGTATGGAATTTCTGTTGCTGAGTTGCAGATGTTCCTCCTGGCGAAACGTCCCTGGTGGCGAGGAGCTCGGAGAAATGCCTGTATTCACAGGCTAATCACTAATGTGAACCACTAATGTATACAGTTGTACTTCTCTGGAGCTTTATTAATAATATTGTTTAAGGACCAAGCACAATAAAGGGCCTAAAGGTCGATGTCCACCGTCGCATTTTTTTTTTTTTTTGGCGTACCCACATAAGTTTTATGTGCATAAATAAAATAGAGGCAATGTAACAAACGTAAACCTGATCGAGTTTCAACGTTTTAACACGTAGGCCCGAACTCTCATACATTTCCTCTATTGACGAGCGTACACAAGTAAAAATTACAAGACAGTGGAAATCCACCTTAAGTCACACTTTTAGGCTGCTTTTTCCTAAAAAGTACCAAGCCTTAATGGATAGATGCCGCTTATTCATTTGGATGTTTTTAATTTTTTACCAACTCCAAGCCAAACTTGTTATAATCTATATTATTATAGTACGTATTTTATGCTACCAATAATTTTCAAGATAACCAGTTGGTGTTATTCAAAATAAATAAGTGAAGCCAAACACAGCCAAACAAAAAGCAAATTTACTGGGATCAAGTGAAAAATGAATAACCTGTCTGCATCATATACATGTCTTCAAACGCTTGTTCTAAGTCCCTCTGTCGGTCTTCTGCATCTTCCAAACGTTTGTGAGGTGGCTGAAAGATGCGTACCTAACACAAGCAATCAATAACAAACTTTAAAAACTACTAACTGGCATAAAAATCAAGGTGGTTACAGGCTGAGTATTTTTTCTCTCAAATTTATGGCCCAAATGCAAAGTGCACAACTCTCTGTCACCATAAATTCAAAAAAATACAAGAGCTTAATCTGTATTTTAAAATAACTTACAGTTCTCAGCTCTAGTTGGTCAAGAGCTAAAGTCTATGAGAGTATAGACTACGCAAATACATTTTATTGTTCTCTATTTGTTAAGCCTACAGTTCGGACTTGTGATTGTTGTTTTAAAAAAGTTGTGTAAGAACACATGGGCCATAACAAGGACAAAAATTTTGAACGATACCAGAATACAAAGTTTCCAGGAAAATAAGGAGATATTAGAGTAAACTTAAAAATATTTATTAGAGTATAACTACAGACAACTGTGTCAGGCTAGGCAAAAAAGGAAATTGATATCATGTATCAATAGACTTTTTTTCACTCAAAAGAAAAGACTTCATACAAAAAAAAAAACAGTCTATTTTCCAAAAATTAATTCAAGATAAAAACCTTTCATTAGTCTTTTTTCATTGCCCCCAAAAAACTCTGCTTTGTTTTAAACTTTAAATGTAAACACTGGCAGTTGATGCAAACCACTGAACAGTATCTGCATATGGAATATTTTCTAGATACTGGGAGTAAATTGTTTTCTTAGAAATTTTTAAACCTAGAATCTCTCGCAAACTCCATTCATTTGAGTTTCCGGACTCAAGAATTGAGTTTCAAGGATTAAATTGAGACTATCAACTTACTTTTGAGCAGTACTGTAGGATAAAAAGTTTTTATCTTGAATTTAATTTTAATTTGCAACATTAGACATCTTATACAGGTGTCCATAATGAGAACATTGACAGTACAGGATGTCTTAGAAAAGACACCTTGAGCTGAGAGGATGACAAAAGAACCCTTACTGGGATTTTAGCAACAGCTTCTTGTCGTCTTTGACGGTCATGTCTTTCCAGTTGCCCAAGCTCTTCCATCAGTTTCTTGTGATCCTGTTTATAAGTTTGTTACAAAAATAAATAACTTTATTTTACATTATTATTTTAAACTACTGAATCATTTCAGAATAAGGTGGTAGAAGACGAGCAAGTTTCATTTTTTACCATAAGCATTCTTGTAGCTTCATCAATAAAACTATTTTGTAAACTAAACGGCAATTTGGCAACCATAAAAGAAAACAAAAGTAGCTGTAAGCCAAGAGTAAAACTTTAAAGACACAGGCTACCCAAATTGTGCTGATAACAATGATGGACAACAGGGTAACCAGCCACATAAAAAGGGTGAACTACAAAAAGCACACTTAATACACACTGTTGTAGAATATAATAATCATCCTACCAGGGTGCAAAGAAAGTCAGTTTTACAGCTTGCCATTCAGGCAAACTATAGCAAGCATAAACTAGCCCAAGACCATTTTGGATTGATTACAAAGTTTTTATGTAATTTGAATTCCTCAAAAAAATTCACAGTTGCCCCTCAGTTGGGCAAGTTAACAACAGAATTCACAAACCCGATGGCAAAATCCACTGGTCCCGGGCTATCAGACACTACTTTCTTTGCACGCTGCCCTACTTGCAAAAAATGCCAAACACTAGTACAATTCTTACTTCCTCCAGTTGTAGCATTTCCAATGCATGTTTGTGTCGCAGTCGAGCCTTCTCAGTTTGTTCCACTTTATTTCGTTGAGCATCCTGCAAACAGTCTATAAAATTGAGCTGAAATTCTATCTAAAATTACAAATGTGCTGTTCATCTTAGTAGGATCTTCAAGGAAATTGTAAACACAATAACTATTATTTTACTATTTTTTTAAAATAAACAATAAAAAAAATCTTAGATGGTATTGGTGGTATTGGTGCTCACATTGTAGGTGGCTCCTCCTAAAATGTTCTACAGTTGGTATAGGATTAAATGGCGCCGAAACCAATTGTGGAATTGTACACATTTTAGGCATCCTACTCATGAAGATTTAGCTCTACGGTGCTGCCCCAATTATCACCATGGTTCTAAAGAATTTTTAACTTGCCATAAACGATTTCTAAATAAAAGAGAAGCACAAACCTCTAAAAGCATTCGTAACCTTTCTTCCTCATCTAAAGCAACTTGCCCAGCATCTTTCTGCAATAAAATTATTAATAATAATAATGATAATGATTTGGAGGTAGCACATGTACATCCACAAAGTGGTTCTTTGTCTACCTGATTCCTGATGGAATTGGAATTTGGAAATGTTGGTTTTCGAGGAAAGGGAAAAACCTGAGTCCCCAGAGAAAAACCTCTCGGAGCAAAGGAGAGAACCAACAACAAACTCAACCCACATATGGCGTTGATGCCAGGATTTGAACCTAGGCCACATTGATGGGAGGCGAGTGCTCTCACCACTACGCCATCCCTTGCTCATTAATTAAACTGTACAGGTAAGCATTTGCCATCACATCAATCCCATTTACTACAGTGTATATTATGACTAAGAATTAAATCAACTTGACATTGCAATACAAAAAAACAAACAAGTAAACTTGCCAAAACTTGGCTAAACCAGGCTTTCAAAAGCTGCATGTCAGTTTAAAATACCAGTTTTTTTACTACTGCGTGGCATTATCTTAAGAATATTGCAGGCCACTTTTCTTATGGCTTTTGCTTCTTCTGACCTTCCTAATTTCATGGATCAAAAAACTGCCACATTGCCAAGTACGCCATTCATTAACACGACCAACATTCTCCTCTTTCTCTCCATAATCTCAAATTCCAGTCATCAAATCCCTGGATCTCAAAAAACCAATTATAGACCCTTGTTGAAGTTACCTGATTTGGATCCAAATCCCGCTCGACATGCACAGAGGGATGCAAATGGAACCGTGTGGAACTGAAGCTGTCAACATTCTGCTCACGAGTCTTCTGGCCTACTTAGACACAAAACATATGTCAGAGTAATTATTGTCAAAATTAACAGACACCAGTAGACTAAATTTCTTATGTTTAAGAACCCATCAGACAAAAGAGTAAATATTACAGTACGTAGAACAGTTTAAACCGTACCTTTCCTCAGATAGAGGTCCTTAAAAAAGAAAAATAAAAAAAAATAAATTGATAAAAAGATGAAGCAGAGCCACTGAGCATTATTTTTTACATTATTTAGTCATCCTTATAATGGCATTTAGTAACTTTTTTAACACTGAACATTTTTTAAAATTTTTTGCCATATTTACTTGAAGCACTCACAAAGTGAGTTTGGAATGTCTGTGCATATGTTCAAATGTGACTAAAGTTCCTGTAACTTTCTATCCTTAACCCTTACACCTTCAGTCACACACATTATTCCTGCACCTGAAAGTAACTCTTTTAGTTTCAAGAGTGACCAACATCAATTTTCCCTCAACAATATTAATACATCATCATGAGAAAAGTTATGAGAATTAATAAAATGATCACCTGAGTGAAAATGATTCGATCTAAAAACAAATTAATTATCTCAACTAGTTCTTCAACGAAATGTATGCAGGGTTGTCAAAAGTACCTGGCTGCCAGCGAAAATTGTCACCTACTTGGTTAGTAACGGCCGGCTACTCTGCTTGGCATTTCTTTACGTATGGCGTTTTTTAAATAGAATACCCCCGGACTGGCCGCTTACTTTGACAACTCAGCTGTCTACTTCAAAACTTTCTGACAACCTTGGTATGGAAATGAGTATGGAGAATTTGTATGTGAATATTGGGCATTAAAGGGTCACACCCAGCAATCAAAAGAGGATTCTTACCGCAATAGGGTCCTTAGGTGGTGGAAGGGCAGCAATTTTAGCTGCACGTAAGCGCTCTGTCTCCAAGGCTTGTTGTCTACATTAAAAAACATTACAAATCCACGTAAAAATTCCCACAGCACTATTCCAAATAACTCCTGGCTTTTTTAATGATCAGAATTAAGATTAGAAAAGATTTAGAATTTGAGCTTCCAATCACATGATTGCCCACACATTGAATAGAAAAACAAGAGAGCTACTTATCAAATGACAGTACAAGCTGAAAAAACCTACTCCCCCCCTTGAATTAAAAAAGATTCACAACAAAATTAACGTTCATGCAATGAGTCTGGCACAGAGTGAAGTTGCTAGAATGCACTGTTACTAGTTCACCTAGGCATCCACCATCACATGGCTAGCCAATGGAATCTAAGCATCCTTCCCACCCCTCCCCTAAGCCCACATTTTGCCCTAAGTGAGAGATAAGTGTTGGCACAGAGTGAAGTTGCTAGAATGCACTGTTACTGGTTCACCTAGGCAATTTTAAACGTGGATGTTTAAAAAAAACTGGGATATTTTTTCACTGAACATCTAGAACAGTAATATTCTGAAAATGTGGTTGTTGGTTCTTACTAAATTACCTGGCTTCAGCACGTTCTCTCTCTGACTGTGTGCTCTTGGCCCTGTCATACACAAGCTAAAGCAAAAAAGAAAATAAAATGTAATTTTGTCTTTTTTTAACAGTCTTGAATCAAACAGCTGAGAATTTCTTTTGGTTCTATTTTTCTTTCATTTTTTAAGAAGCTAGATGGGGAATTCCCCTGTCACTGGCCATTCGTGATAGCTCTGCCAATTAAAGTTCCTTGTACATGCAGTACGTCAGCTCTCTCCTGGAGGACAAACCTTATCACCTACCAGTGATTTTGTTACCTCTGGGTCCTGTGTCCCTGATGCATAAAAATCCCCAAAGATACAAAATAATTCATGGCATACATCCCATAGGATGCCATAGGATGCAAAGAAAAATTGATCAATTTGAAGATGTCTTGGTCCTTTATCCTGTTTGTGTGATTTCTGTGGCTGTTGTGTAAAGAAGAATATTTATTTTAACTAGCCTTTTTTGTTCTTTACATAATTATATGACATAAAATGATAAAAGGACTATATTTTAATTTCAATGAAATGTAATGCAAATAAAGAGTTTTGGCATCTGACTCTAGATTAACTGTCTGGTTACAAAAAGGCCCAAGCATTTTTTTTTTTTGACCTGGGACTCATTGGGTATGGACAGGGACTCGTGATTATTCACAAGATGGGTCCCAGGACTCACGATAACTATTTATAGCAAAATCACTGCCTACGTCCTAAGAGTGATTGAATAAAGAGAGCAGCTAAATTTTAACTCTATTACAGCCACGCTAATGAGTACCTGTTCCAGTGCTTTCTTGTATCTTTCTGATGCTCTGAAAAAAGAGTGCCAACGGATTGTCTATTAGACGCCAAACTCGACAACAAAGATGAGCATGGGAGAAAGTGCCAGAGATACTGGTGGAACCAAGAAGTGCAGAGAATTGTAGAGCATAATCGTGCAAATGTTCACTTGTGGCATCCACAGTCACATGGCTAGCCAATAGAACCTCAGCATCGATCATTAAACGTTTCTGGGAAACTGCCCACCTACCCCTCCCCTAAGCCCACATTTTGCCTTAAGTGAGAAGTAAGTGTTGATGTTGGCTTAGGGGAGGGGTAGGTAGGCAGTTTCCCAGAAAGGTATAACGATCCAGCATACCTACTATATGTTACACGTAAAAATTAAATTCAGGTTAAAATGTTTTAACCAGGTTGATTCCCAATTTTCTTTTGACTCCTAGCCCTAATTCATGAATAACTCGGGTTACAGGAGACAAAGGAAATTGAAAATCAACCTAGGATTTTAAAAAAACCATTGCAGAATACCTGGTCCACTAAATGTCTTACTTGAAAAACTGCTCTCGCAGTCCAGCAGTTGTGTTCTGTTACACCAAATACTTTAAATCTAAGTAAGTTAAACAAAACTCCCGCAGTGGCTGAGAAGTAAATAGTAAAGGGTATACAATTTGAACTCCCACATTCCTGCAGTCAATGTCAGAATTTATCAAGCAAATGGGACAACTGCAAGACTGCAGGAGCAGTTTTTGAAGTGAGATATTACTTTTAGTAGGCTGGATATTCCACCATCCGACCAAAAATCTTAATCTGAAAATTTTGATCTGTAACATAGAATTACACTTCACAAAGGGAGGACTGGGTGGGGAGCAGAATTCATGAAGAAGAACAATGTAAAGCAATGCAAACAAAATATTTGAGCTCAAAACTGAAAAAGAGAATCTGTAAATTCCCAAAAGTCCCTATCTACAGACTGGTAGCTGTTGGAGCATGCCAGTAAATCTCAGATGAAAGATAATGCTAGCAAATGCAGGCACCATCTTCAGCTGCATTTAAATACAAACAAAATCTAAAATTCGATGAGTTTAGGGTTAAAATTATAAAACAAAGTTTTCATCCCTTTAAGTTTACCTATGTTTCTCTTCTTCACTTAACTCTGGTTTGGTATAACTAGTTTGGTCCTGTAAAAAATATATTATTGTATTATTATTATACGCACTGGAAAGGCAAAATTTCACAACAAAAACAATTTTCTATAACTTTGAGAAAAAGACATACCTTAAAGGCAGGTACAGTAGCCAATAAGCAGCAATTTGAGTTTAAACCAAACGAAAATGTGTTATATTCCATGAGAGTAAAATTTGTTTTCATAAACCGTGATTGTTTTAAGCCTTGTCTGTATAGTTCTCGGAAGCGTGTGTGGCCGAGTGGTCGACACCTTGAACTCTGGATCTGGAGGTCCAGGGTTCAAGCCTTGCCCGTCACATTGTTCCCTTAGAGAAGGAACCCTACTCCACTTTGTCTCTCTTCACCTAAGTGTATGAAAGGGTACCAGTGACATACTGCTGGGGGGTAACCCTGCAATGGACTAGCATCCCATCCAGGGGGGAGTAGCTAGGCATGCTTCCTGCTACGGAAACCGGAAATAAGCTCCAGCTGTGTGGGCCTTTGGTTTGTGTGCACCTTAATTTACCTACCTTATTACCTTCTATAGTTCTAAGATTTAAAAAGTGTTAATTATCTACATAACTTAGACAGTCCTTAAAAACAGACCTAGAAATTTATACATGTAGGTGGCCACTAACAAAGCCTGGATAAAACCAGATCAACCAGGTGCAGAAGGAATAAAGGCTGCAATGACTTTTTATGATAAAATTTAATGTGTACCTCAGAAGCTGTTTGATGGGCTAATCCAATTTCCGCAAGGTTTTCTTGATATTTTCTCTCAAGCAGTGACCGTTTCAAATTTTGCTCATTCTCCCATTGGCTCTGCAGAAATCAAATAGAGAGAGAATTATAACAAGCAATTTGCAATAAATAATTTATAAATAATTATAATAATTAAAATTTGATAGCACCTATCTGGTCCTGCTCTAGGTGCTTTACAAAACATTGAAAACAATTAAGTAAATATTTTAACATTCCCAGGACTCACCATAACAAAGTCACTGCAATCACTTTTAACTAATCCTTATCCACCAAAACGATCCAAAAATTTGTTGCACCAAAGGCTTGTACCTATTCCCCTTAATATAGTTTCTAAAGAGGGAAGTTTTGGATTTCACTATAAGGAACTACTAAAGCACTGATTGCAGTTCACTAATTATTTTGTTTCACCAATACAATTTGAAAGTTTGGGATGCAACCTACAATGAAGATGCCGCCTATAGATCCACAAGTATAAAATTTATTTAATACAGTGATCAAAATACACACAAATAACAATTGTTACTATATACATCAGTGTAGCTGAATCCATCAGCAGGCTAGACAGGGCTTGAAATTAAGAAAATCCTCAGGTCACCTTTTGGCTACCAACTGGAGAAATATAGTCGCCACACGCAAATTTATCGTCGGCACTTTGTACAATGTAAATGACGCAGCTCATAGTATGGCCGATCCATCAGATTTGATTGTTTAAAAATATCGCGGACAGAAGTCGGTATGAATTTTCAGGCAAACTGGCTTTCTTTATAAAGCGATTCAGCACATTTTTTATGACAAAAGGAAAGCAAGATAAGATGAAATGTTTGTTTTAACTAGACTCTTTTAATTTAAATCTAAAGCACAGAGAAATCTGGTTGCCAAAGTGGCAACTAAACCAGAATTTTTAGTCACCAAGGAGAAAATGTTAGTCACATTGGTGACCGTATCAGTCGCAATTTTGAGACCTAGTGCAAGATAAAGTAAATCCTACATTATGATAGATTGGCTACCCGAGTGGGCAAGATGGGTTCATCTTACCCACTCAGGATTTCCTGTGTTGGTCCTGTCATTAAAAGTTCTCTTTTTGGTCATATAATAAATTCCTTATTGACCAAGCACGCTCAGCTAAGATGGCTGTCTATTGGCCTCATTCTTTCTTACAAAAAAAAAAGTAGTTGGCCAATATCCTGCCATCTTGGTCTCACACTAGGTCAATAATGCAATATAATAATAAATATTTGCCACAAACACATTATGGATAAAAAAATACCTTGAGGTGGGAAGCAAGGTGTTTTGTTTCAACAGTTTTTCTTTTCCTCACATCTTCCAGCAACTTTCGAGAAAAAGCTTTCTCCTGTTCTCTGACCTACATATGAACAGATATATCAATGGAGTAGTTATCTTTATTTACAAAATAACTAAGAGAGTACTACACTCTGATTGGTCAAGAAGAGTGTTTGCATAAGAGTATATAAGCACAGTTGACGTCAAGATGTTTTAGTTGTATGTGCTAGCTAATCATAAGCAAAAAATTTTAAAAAGATATTGAGTTGAAAACTCGAAAAGTTTACTGTTATACCCATTTTTTTGTTTGTTGAGACTTGGAAAATCTTTACAAACATGCTGTGCCAATTTTTTCGCATATGTCAACATTTTAAGCCAGAAAAATCTGTATTTTGGAAAGCATCTTTTTTTGCAAAGCAAGAACTGATTATGCGCACAAAACTTCACGTACAACACTAACTTCAACCTGGTTGGTAAGAATTTCTCTTTTAGCAGAGTTTTGCTTTCTTTTCTCTAGAAAGGTATTTCATAAAACTAAAAAGCAATAGAAAACTTTTTTATTGTGTATGCATAGCCTGATATAAACACTCGAAGGGTTGGGAAAATTCTCAATTTCTTTCCCAACACCCTCTCATGTTTATATGAGGCTATGCAAACACAGAAAACGTTTTCTATTGCTTAAATCTAAAGTATAATTATAATGGTGCAATACTGGTAGGTGTATGTAGCTCTACTCAGTTGATAAAAGAAAGAACTCCCATCTCATATCAAAACCTTTCCAGTCTACACATTAGGATAACACAGGGCTGTCATTGGGGTTTAAGTAAATGGTCTCTCAAGGACAGTAGCAGGACATTTAACTTACAAATCCTCCCATATTTACTTTATTAGTATTTACCAAATCAGTGAATAGCAATTTTTGCACATTTTGATTGGCTCTCATAACTCAGAATAGCCTTGGCCATTCACTGTTTTGCAACCTGAGCCAAGATGGCATCTCGTTTTGAGACATTTTTGATTGACGAAATTCAAGCAATAAATGAAGAAGTATAAACAAATACCAAGAATGTGACAAACTTTGGCCTGTCAGTGTTTACTGGTAGGTAGAAAATTATTTTCATGCTGAATTTGCAACAAAATTGCAAACATGCACTTGACACTAACCCAATTATGTTAGTAATTTAATAAACAAAGTAAGTTCCTATTAAGGGACATTTTTAATTTACAAATACAGTTGACTCCCGATAACTCAAACCCTCGCTAACTCAAACCTCGCGCTAACTCGAACCAAAATCGATTTCCCCTGGATTTCCGTCATACATTTACTGTAATTTCCCCTCAGATCATTTCTATATAATTTTATCCTTGATAACTCGAACCATGTTTTGAGCCCTTAAAAAGTCGGGAAAAAAGAGTGTACTGCCTCCGAAACATTGAATTTTGAATTTCCCATTGACGTGTTGTTGGCATATAGTTTACTAGTGGATCGATAGTGGAGGCTGATGATGTTTGCCACAAATCTAACGTGAAATAGCTTTACTTCTCAAAAAGTAAAATGCATGCTCTATTTAGGCAACGTTTTGTTACTTTAGTAGTTTAGTTTACGTTCTGATTTATAATCTAACAGTATCTTTTAATTTTCACTCAACATATTTACTATTAAATGTGATTAGAATACTGACTGTGCCGTAAAAACTGTTTTTTTCCTTACTCCCGGCTATTTTCTTCGAGCTCCCGATAACTCGAACTCCCGATAACTCGAACCTTTTTCGATTTCCCTTGAAGGTTCGAGTTATCGGGAGTCGACTGTAGTTACTTTTTTATTTTAATCCAACTGATTTGGTAAAACAACTACCCCATCAGGATCGGTGAACAGCACTAGATAAATACCTCTTGATGCTTCGGGTCTCAGTATATATATCCACCACTGTTTACCTCCCCTTCGAGGGATATAGTTTTATAATGTATGACTCATTTTCAAACTTGGAGTAGCTGATTTGGTCTGTAGAAAGGCCCTGAAAAAGGCTAACAGATCTTTTTATGGCTGCAAAAAAAGTCATGAAAAATTTTTGGTTTTGTGGTTTATTCATGTTTTGAAAACAGTGTTTTCACAGCAGTTAAACAGCTTTTCTCTCAAAAGCTGACGATATATAAAATCGTAAGGCATTGGACTGGGGGGCAGAGCCTCTCTATATAAGACTCCCAGGAGTTCCATCTCTGGTGCACAGCAGATGTCCAACTGCAAAAAGCTGATCACAAAACACATTTTATTGACTCCCAATCATTGCCATAAATATGGCTTACTGCATAACTATATAACAGTACTTAATAAATTTAACCTAGGTTAACAAAATCAACCTAGGTTAAATCAAAATTAACCTGAAATCAAATTTGACCTGTAACAGATATTTCACAGATGGAGCTTAATATTCTTTTGGATTCACCTGTTTAAGACGAAGCTTCTTCCGTTTCTCTTTGTCGCTTTGAAGTATAGTAGCCTACAAATCCATGACAGAAAAAAGTTAGTAACTTCACCTTTAAAAAAAAAGTTGAAAAAAGTAACTTTAATCACCCATAAATCGAATATAATGTATGACCGATGTAACAAAGATGTTAAGATAAAATCTCTTTCATTATAATCTCTTAATAACAAGTAGGAAATGAAATGACAACGGGCTATTGCATTTAATACCCGCATTCCCCCCGGTTGTGGACCAATGGAATTCTTCAGGGGTAAGTCATAAAAATTGGGGATTTCTTTGGGGGTAGAGCAATAAAAATATGGAGTTCTTTAGGGGTGAAGCTTTGATTTTTAACAAAATCTTCAGCAGTGAACAAGGAAAAAATCAACTTTTTCGAAATTCTTCAGGGGTAAACACATATTCTTCTGTGGAAGACCCACATTTTATAAGTCTTCAGAGGTGAATACAATTTTGTGGAATTCTTCAAGGGTAAGAAGAAAAGGCGTTAAGTCCTTGACCAAGGTGTACAGATATTAATTAATACCACTTATTATTCATTCAAAATATTTCCCCAATTCTGATTGGCTAAAAGCACACGCATAATTCACCATAACCAGTTACTGATGACCAAATTTGGAAGAATTTTTTGTTTACGAGGAAATGAAGTAAAACATGCAGCCCTCTACAGGTTAATGCACCATTAACCAAGCAGACCTGGAGACGAGGTTGAGTTGTCTTCGTTGTGAAAACTAAAATAGCAGACACTTCACTTGTTTCAAGAGTAAGAACTACAACTGGAACTAGGCAAAATAATGGCTAAAAACATGGCAAAAACAGCAAGAAGACAACTCTGAGGGTGACATCTGCTATTTGGAGAATCACAGGAAAAAATAACGGATTCCCGTTTTTGGAATTTTTAGGGTATGTAAAGAATACCCATAAAAATCCCAAATTTGGCAAAGTGAGACGAGTACCAACCCGGGAATTCCCAACCAAGTTCCCTGATTGGGACTTGTCTGACTCTTCCAAATTTGGGATTTTTGTGGGTATTCTTTAAATACCCTAAAATATCCAATAATGGGAATCGGTTATTTTTTTCTGTGAACATTTGTGGAGCTGGACAAACCTAAACATACACTATCAAAGATAAACTTAACGTCGATGCAGGTAAGTATGTTTTAGCTATGCTTTTAAACTAGGAATTATTTTGAATGAATAATAAAGCAATCAACAAATTCGGCTTTCGTAGGATATGAAGAATTAGGCAGATCTCAGAGCGTGTTATCCACCTTGGCCTTCAGCCTCGGTGGATAACACCCTCCTCAATCTGCTTAATTCTTCATATCCTACTCAGCCTCATTCATTAATTGCTAATTATATTAGCCCAATACCACAGATCAATCTGTGGTATTGGGTTAATACAAATGGTATGAATAGACGAAACTATAAAAACTTCTGGTTAAGTCCATAGTCCGAGATTTAATAGATTACGTGTACGACACAAGCTAGGCAATGCTTAATCAATTTAACAGGTTAAACTTAAGCTTAAATATCACCACAGTTATGAAAATAAGCTCAAATAAACATGTGAAAGTTAACCTCCTCGTTCGGGCTTGGCCTCAAGACCTCTCTACGCTTCTTGCGTTCTTGTTTCTTCATTTAAAGAGTCCTTAGCTTCTTTAGACGAGACCTGAAAAAACAAAAAGAACGGTAACTGCAACTGATTCATATAAACAGCGATTTGATCATTCATTCTAATCTAAACATTAATCTAAGCTAATCGACGGGCGAATTTCACAACATAAACATCAAACATAATGTACCAAAACAACTTACCCCTTTGTAACGTGAAATTGATTTTGAACCTGAATGACGTAACGCATGTAAAATATTTTAAGATTTTCCTCCCTGGAATTCAATAAATTTATCGCCCTTCCAAGCCTCCAGGTTAAAGATTTCCTTGCCATGTCGTTAACGCGTTATGTTGCCTTCCCGCGCCATTTTGATTTCCAGCCAGACAACACAGGCTTTTGCCACTTTTGTTGGACGCGTGATTACTGGAACTAATTTCTTCGACGCCATATATTACTCAAGACTTCCGGTTCCGTCCTTTTCTATGTGTAAAGTGTTGAGAGAACCAGGAGTTTTCCAAGCGAATCTTTATCCATCGGCATCATGAAAATCTTCAAGGACTTGTTTAGTGGTAAGATGGTTTTCTAAACCCTTTTTTGTCGTTTTAAAAGCGTTATTTCTTAAATCTGGATTAACAACAGCAAAAAAATATTATGGGAAGACATATGCGAAGATCCTTTGCTAAGAGATCAAGACATCTTTTAAAATCCTCAAAATATTTTATCCTTTGTGGATGCCGATCAATGTCAAAAAATTATCTACGAGGGAAAGCGACCACTAATCGAACCAAACGTACGAGAAATTAGTGGCACTTCAATCTTGTATTTACCCATCAAACTTTAACTTTCGGTGTAGTGAGTTCGATCAGTTCGATTCATGTGGGAAAATACGCAAAATATATAGATTCAATAAGTATGTATCCTGTACATTTCAGTGAAGTAAATTCTGATTGATTGCGGCCACTTTTGCATGGGCAACAGGATACTCTGTGTACAGTATGTGTGAAAAAAAATAGGCAGGAACTGCTGTTATTCTCAAAGGCAGAGTCACGCACATGACCGAGGACTTTTGTGATTCACTATTAAAGTTCCTAGTAATAGGCTAATGGGGATATGCTGCTGGATGGGATCGCATTTTCACAGCTAGATTGACTATAATGGGGTTGCATTTTCATTAGAGTTACTAGAATGGGATCACACATTTTTGTGATTTGGGGGATCAGAAAATTCAGGTAGGTAGGGATTTTAAAATGGGAAGATTTTTACTTCATTAACCCTTTAAGTCCCAATGGTGACCAACATCAATATTCTCCTAACAATATCTATAGATTCTTAAGAGATTAGGTTATGAGAATTAATAAAATGATCAGCAAAGAGAAAATACCTTGATTTTTTAACAAATTCTCTTAACTCGTTTTTTAAGGAAATGTATGGAGACCAGTTTGGAGAATTTGTATGTGGATATTGGGGCTTAAAGGGTTAAGTTTAACCAATGTGTCAGTTCATTTTAGGATGACCTAGTTGTAATAATTAGAAGGCTCTACAAGGTAGATGCATGAACAGAAAGTTACTACGCTGAGATTGCGGAAATTAGATTTTCCCAAAAAAATATGAAAAAAGATGGGGTCTATATTTGGCCACAGAAAAGACTATAATGGGGTAGACCAGCAGCACATACCCAGCAAAAATTAAACCAAGTAACCCCCCCGGGAAAAGAGCTTGCTTGCAGCTAATTAACCAAATGTTTGGTACTCAAGTGATAAAAGTACAAAGCCAATCAATGTTTGAAGTCTGATTAAGTTCAATTACCAATACTTTAGCATGACCATGTATAACATTGAGCTGCTAAATGCATCTTGATTGTAGGCTGATATACAGATTTAGCCAGGGCTAAAAGCAAAGCTCTCGATAAAATTTATGGTTTGTTCAAACAAAATATAAAATCGTGTAATGCTAAGCGGCGAAGGCAATGCCAGAGAATGGTGAAAAACAACAATAGGTCCAATCAGCAAAAAAACAACTTTGCACTTGCAGCACACTTTTTTTGTACATTTCTTTGCCGTTGCTTTGCATGACTACAACGTGAAACTTCGAGAAACTTCCTAGTTACATGTTTTATGGAGGAAATGTCGTATGTTTTCTCGTTCACTTTTTTTTCACTGCTGCTCATTTTCACCTTGCATTGGTGGCCACTAGCATTTCTCATTTTGTCACTGCCGTTACAAAATTTTCATGTTGTTCTTCCAACAAAAAAATGTCTCCTTTGTTTTTGATCTAATCTAGTAGAGTTATCTGAAATCAAACACAAAATTTTGCCTCCTGTGTAAGCCCAAACTTAGAAAGCTATAATTTTGCATCTGGAACAAAAGGTTAAGCTAGCACGGATCCCCGGGGGGGTACTTTAGGAATTTCTGGGTGGGGATGTGCCGCTGGGAGCCTGGAATCCTTAACCTTTACCAGAGCTAGTTCAGCTGAATTTTGCTACCCTATACTAGAGTAAACTCCCCAAATCCCCCTATCCTAGAGTAGCTGTGTACCTAGTCTAGATAAAATCTTCAACCAACTGATCAGTTTCCTGAAAAATGATACCCTATTCTAGAGCCAAACGCTCTGATTTATATACCCTATCCTAGCCTTCACAGCGGCACATACCTATATACCCCATATGGCAGTCCCCCAGCCATGGATCTTGTCTTGCAAACAACGTTTTAGGTAGTTTGGCTTTGTTTCTGCTCGATAGTGAAAAAAAAAAATGATTCGACTAGCTTCATAAAACAGCATGTTTCAAGGAAATCTCCAGGGCAATTCATGTTGAATCATGTTGTTATTCTTCTTTTTAATTCTTTTCTGTTTTAATCCACTGTAAATGACATTGCATTGTCCACTGCGCTCAAGTGTTAGCAGTAATAATAATATACAGGGTATTAAAACCTAAGCACTTAAAATTTCAGTTGTTAAACTAGTTAACCTCTTTAATTTTCAGGAGATGAATTGTTCACTGATGTATACAAGATGACAGAAGTTGATGGAATTTTTTATGAACTGGAAGGAAAGGTAAGTAGGCAATAAAGAACTTACTATGTGAACTCTTTATTCCCTAAGTCTAGAGTGAAGAACATCAAATTTCTCCCTGTAATATTATACACTTAATGTCAGATCCCGAGGGAAACAGTTGGTTTTGTTTTCCGGAGAGTCCTGATGTTCCCCAAGACGAAGTCAAGGGAAACATCAGGACTCCAGGGAAATCAAAACTAACTGGTTTCCCGAGGGACTGGACATTAAGTGTTTTGTTATATTTCTAGACTTTAGTTCAACATACTTCAACAGACAACAGCAACAAAAAATAGGCTTTAGGCAGGCAAATCAAAACAGTTGACTCGGTATACTTAAGCTTATAAGAACACAAATTTAATTCTCAAAACCACAGAATGAATCAGATGAATGATTTACAAAGTACTTTCCTTATATTATATGTATCTTTTTACTCCACTAGCTGCTGGTTCTCTTCTGAAATAACTTTGAAAATCGTTGCTCTTTAGCTTGAGGCTTCATGTTTGTGTTGTTGTGTTCATTCACGGAAAAGAAAACTGGCAATGTTTTTCCCATCTTCTGTCACGCCACTTTCCACCATGCCTTGATCACGTGCTGTAATGTATCCCGAGCTGGGTACATTGCTTAATGTATCATGATCGGGATACATTTGATTTTCGTCAACGCCACATGACCAAGAATCAGCCTATGGCAGTCCCTGTTTAGTTGAGTGAAAGTCTTGGAATATAACAACAATGTTTTAACCAATTTGCCCCTAAGCTGCCCCTAACCTCCCATGCAGATTCTTGTCCCTTCTACCGCTTGTGACATCATCAGTTTTAATGGTCAAAGACAACTTTGTCCACCAACTTGTGTAGAGTGGAGAAATCTTTCAAACCATACCAGAATTAGCTCAGTTCAGTAAAGCACACCAGAGTAAAAGGCAAAACACCATGAACTAACATTGACCTAAAAATTCCCATGAAAATCTTGATCCACTACCTGCGTACCTTTCCACTCATCTAATTCTAAGATCCTAAAAGCTTAATATTCCTAAAAACTTTTCCCACCAAAATGAAGCCAACTGAATGCCCAGCAAGGAAAAAAATTAGGCGAAAAAAGGGAAAAAAGAGGGGAGGAGGGAAAGCAATGACATTGTGGGAGGCATTTGAAATGTTCGAAGATGGAATCTATTATCAAATTGAGTAATTTTAATTTTTAGTTGACAAAAACGTTGTAATAGAATAATTTAAATCAAATTGCACTTTTTTTTACACTTTTCAAGGGCTATAGATTACATTGCGACTCCTGTAACCAAGGCCACTTAGTCAACGTTGCATGACCATTGATTGGATTACAGGAAAATAACAATACATTCCAAGAAAGTTGTTTGTGGGCCAATCAGCAGCTCATAAAATCCTGATAGCAAATGTTTTTCGGAAAGCAAAATCTTTCACCAGACAATGTTTTTCTATTCGAAACTTTGCATACAACACCCATGAGACATATTTCTTAGACACAAGCTGTTATTTTGTCATCTACCAGCAATTTCTTTGCCTCTATTGCCGTGCTTTGCAATAAGATGTGTCTGCAAATACTACATTACTCACTCCAACGGACTTCTTGGGAAACACGTTCTTTCTATAGTGGTCTCAAAACCCGGGGGGGGGTACTTTAGGAATTTCTGGGTGGGGATGTGCCGCTGGGACCCTGGAACCCTTAACCTATACCAGAGCTAGTTCAGCTGAATTTTGCTACCCTATACTAGAGTAAACTCCCCAAATCCCCCTATCCTATAGTAGCTGTTTCCCTTGTCTAGTTAAAATCTTCAACCAACTGATCATTTTCCTGAAAAATGATAAATTATTCTAGACCCAAACACTCTGATTTAAATACCCTATCCTAGAGTAAACTGCCTGAAAACCATAGCCTTCACAGCGGCACATACCTATATAGCCCATATATGGCAGTACCCCCCCCCCCTTACCCCCGGGGTCAAAAGTTCACATCTGTTAAGGTTGTAATTGGTTGATTTTGATCCATGTTGTTTATTTTGTTACATGGCAAGGCTGTGCTCTAAGGAAAATTAAAGGGAGCCCAGTGCTCTGAAACTGTAAAATCTAGGGTGCCCAGCGTATGATTTGTATGAAAAATCTGAGATTTTCTAGTTGCCCGGGGGCAAAAGCGAGGCGCCAGGGGCCACCGGGCTCTGCTAGAGCACAGCCCTGCATGGTAAATATGATTGACAACTACATTTAACTTTCTTGGAATGTATTGTTATTTTCCTGTAATCCGATTGGTCAACTTTGTCTGGGCGGTCACGGTTACAGTAGTCACACTGTAGTAAAATATTGGTTAACCCATTCGCCCCTGAACCGCCCGTAACCGCCCGTGCGGATCCAGGTTCTTTCTACCCATTGTGACATCATCAGTTTTAACGGTCAAGGACAACTTTCTTCGCTAACTTGTGCAGAGTGAAGAGATCTTTCAAACCATACCAGAATGAGCACAATTCAGTCAAGGACACCGGAGAAACAAGCAAAAAACCACGTGACATTGACCTGAAAATCTCCATGAAAATCTTGTTTCATTACCGACCTACCTTTCCTTTCACCTAATCCTAAGATCCTAAAAGCTTTCCTAAAAACTCTTCCCACCAAAATCAAGCCTACTAAATGCCCAGCAAGAGAAAAAAAAAATGAGGCAAGAAAAGCGAAAAAAGAAGGGAGGAGAGAAAGCGAAAAGTAAAAGTCAAGACTGCTGTGTCACTTTGAAACCCAAAAACTATCTTGAAATTTTGCTTTCTGCGCATGCCCAAACTTCGCAAGCTGATATTTTGCATCTGGATCAGAAGGCTGCGAAGTGTTCAACCTGTAAACCAGTTTGTAGTAAGTTTTAGCTCTTTATAGCACGACAGTGACCAGAAAACCACTCGACTAGCTTCAAAACGCGTTTTTCGGCAAAATCTCCAGGAGCAAATGGGTTAAATCTGTAATAACACCAATGACAATTAATTTTCTTATAGGAGCCCAAGAAAATTAAATTTCTAATTTCACAGGAATAAATTGTGAAAACAGAGGTAAGATTTTATTTTGTGAAATTTGAAAGTTATTTTCCCAGGCTCTCATATCAGAAATTTTATTCGGTGGTATTACAGATAACTAATTACATCTATAGTCCCTGACTGTGTAAAAAAGAAAGCAATATGCTTTACATTATTATTTTGGTATAAGGTCTTTGTCAAGTTTCTCAATTTTGTGATGGATTTACCAGAATCATACTTAATTTTTTCCAGGTGACTACTGAAAAAAGTGGTGATATAGATGAAAGTTTGATTGGTGGGAATAAATCAGCTGAGGACACGGGAGGTGATGACGTGGAGGAAAATGCAGTAACTGGCGTTGATATTGTTTTAGCCAACAAACTTAAAGAAGTGGGAGGACAGGCTTTTCCTTTCTCAAAGAAAGATTACCAAAAGCATTGTAAGGCGTATATGAAAAAGCTCCTTGAACATATAAATCCAGAAGAAAAAGACAAATTCCAGGCAGATGCCAAAGTTGCAATGCCAAAAATTTTTGGCAAATTTAGCGATCTCCAATTTTTTCGGGGAGAGAGTGAAGCCGATTTTGATGACGCTGAATGTATGCTGGCTATACTTGAGTATCGTGGCAACATACCATACATGTTGTTCTTCAAACATGGTCTTGTCGAGGAAAAAATGGTGAGTACCGTTGAGGTTTTTTCAGGGACATTTGCAAAGGCCCTGCCAGGGTAAATTCCGACTAGTGACATGGCCCAAAAAGTAGCGACAGCGCGTCAAATGAAATCGCCACAAGAGACAACCTCCCTCGACCAAATTGTGACAGTGGCGGCAAAGCCAACAATAAGCGACAAGCATTTATGAACACCGACATGAGACGTTTTAAAATTAAGACAGGCGACATGGACCCCTCCCTGGCAGAGCCTCTTTGCACTGATGCATATTGTTTCAACTGCCTGCATGCATGAGTCTTGTCATAATATTAGGCCTTGAGCGCACAATAAGGAAGAAAGGGTCACACTTGACAGGGGCATAGCTCGGATTTTTCAGAGGGGGGAGGGAGTCACATTAGGGCCATTTATACGAGGAAAAATAAGACGCGTCTTACTTAAGATGCGTCTTAAATAAGACGCGAACTTTCAGTATAAACGGCACATTTCGTCTAAAATAAGACGCAGCTTAGCTAAGACGCGTCTTATTAGATAAGACATGCTCGTATAAATGGTACAGTTCGCGTCTTATTTTTGCTCGTATAAATGGCCCTATTGTGTCACACCCAGACTTAGATGACAATTATAGGAGAAGAAAGATTTAACTCTAAATCAGATGAAGAGCATTCCTTACCTCTCTTTGAAGCATTGAAAACAGTTTGAAAGCTTTGCTTGTTTGGATAAACAGCATTTGCTACTTCACAAGCAGTAGCACCAACTTAATATCTTGGTCACAAATTTCTGGGTGCCTTACATTACTTGTCTTGTGTTTCAACGGCCTCATATTCATGTGGCAAGGAGGATCGAATACGTTGTCTATATAAACCAATCAATGCCTAGCTGCTCTGACCATCATACCATAAAATTCCGAAAATAAGCCCCGGGGCTTATATTTTTCAAAGCCCCTTTTTGAGGGGCTTATATTCGGAGGAGCTTGGGGAGGTTACACCTGGAGGTCCAACCCCTTACCCTTTTACATACCAGTTTGGACAGAAAAGGCACCCCTTTCGTATACCTTCTATTGACAAATGTTACCCCTTTCACACACCCAGTTTAGAACTTTGTATCTCTTAAACTGCTGTTTGACCGCCGCCTGGTTAGCTCAGTTGGGAGAGCGTCAGTCTGCCGAGCGGGAGGTCGCGGGTTCAAACCCCGGCCGGACCAACACTCAGGGTCTTTAAAATAACTGAGAAGAAAGTGCTGCCTTTGTAATGGCATCTGCAAATGGTTAGACTTTCTAGTCTTCTCAGATAAGGACGAAAAACTGTAGGTCCTCTCTCGCAGCACTTTCACTGATTTGTTCTTGTGGGACGTAAAAGAACCTACATCACTATGCGAAAAGAGTAGGGGTCGTAGACCCCGGTGGTGTGGCCAACCTTTTCAGGTTGTGGGATTGGGCAGGGATGGCACCTTGCAAGGGACCCATGAGTCCCATTCGTGCACGTTCCCTCTGGGCAGGCCTGTGTTCAGAAAAGCTGGTAAATAAATAAATAAACACACTATCTTTAAAATATGATTAAGACAGAATCCACTAGGAAATTAAGTAATTTTAATTTTCAGTGGACAAAAACCTTGTATCAGAATAATTTTAAATCGTTTCCTTTTTTCTTTTATTTTGCAGTAATGAGCAGAGCAAGGCAGGAAAAAATTATACAGGCTAAGCTGAAATTGAACTTTATATGACGAATGGTATATTTCGCAATCAAGTTATCATAAAGTTGTGCATTAAAACTGACAAGCTTTGAAGTAGTTTAGGCACTGAACTGACTGCATTACAGATCCATGTAAAAAGTGAACAGAATTTACGGCATTTACTTCGTGTACCAAACACAGATGATGTAAAACAAAAAGAGCAAAAACCAAGAAACAAAGAGGTCTTTTGTTTTACTTCATCTGTGCCAAGTACACGAAGTAAAAGCAGAATTTACTGCTAGAATCAATTTTGTGCAGGCACTTCTTACAGCATTCAAGTTTACCTATCACTGCAGTGACTCAGTTTTATGTCGCCATAGACGGCTTGTTTGCTTCAATCATTCTGAGCAGCTTTTTTTTCCAATACTATCAGTCAGATGTTTCGTTTGATTTTCCAGAAGTAAACTTAATTTTTCCAGTGCTGAAGTCGCACGGTGTGTCGTAAATGGCTCATCCATGAATGGTTGACCCATATCATAGTGGGCTGAGTAGAGTTCCATTACTCTCGTTAGAGTAATGGCCTTCATTTGCTCAAATTGCAGAATTCCTCACTAAAATTCTATAGAAACTTATCTATGTTGGAAAAGTTATGTAATCTTGCTTCTGACGATTTATTAAACGTGGTGTGTCGTAGTTGTTTGAGTTTGATTTCTCTCAGGGCCGTAGTAGAAGGGGACCAACACCTTGTCTCTACCCCCCCCTCCCTACATCCCCCACTTTTTGGGCGAAAATTACAGAAAAAAAGACGACAACTACCACTTTTCCGTCAAAAATACCGAGTTGATATCACAACGCAATTCCCCCTTCGATTTCACAACATAAAAATAAGCCCCTCCATGCATAAGCCCCTCCAAATATAAGCCGCCCAAACCGGTAACGCAAAAAACCCTCCGTTAAATCACCCCTCCAAATTTAAGCCCCCCGAGGGCTTGTCCTTGGAATATTTCCCTCAAATACAAAGTAAAACGAAGCAAAAACGGTAAATTTACCTTCAACTGTAAGGCTAGCCCAATCGATTTTGAGACGCAAATCTCCCTCCATAGATAAGCCCCTCCGAATATAAGCCGCTCCAAAAATAAGCCCCTTAAGTCCCTGGGCTTATTTTCGGAATTTTACGGTATGTTGTTCAAATGTTAGGTAGCAGTTCACATATATATTTTTTACTGTAATACAAGTTAAAAATTGCTTGAAGTTAGCCTGAAAAGAGCAATAAACTGTATCTAAAAGTGCTTAGTAAATTTCCCAGTCTGCAATAGACGGTATTTCAGACTTTCAAGTTTTGGCCGGGGCGGCGGGGGGGGTTCTCGGCCCACAACAGTCGAGTACGCCGCTAGCACTGCTAACTTTCGTGCGCTCGCAATTTCAAATTCTTTCATACGGGCCTGTCTATGGTTGTCTCAATGTATAGATAACATTTTAGTTTAAATGAATCTCGTTTTTTCACTTAGCCTCGCTTTGAAAGTGGGAGTTATTGGAGTTAGGAAATGGCATATTCAGTAACGTTTTCGGAAAGCCTTTGCGACAAGACCATAGTAATAGATAGAATATGTGATGAAACCTCCTCCCCACCCCACCCCACACAATCAAAAATTCAAATCAAGACTGTTCAATAGGTAAAGTCCACCATTTCTAAAGTGAAAGGAGGTAAATATGCAAAGACGCAGGGAAGTACAATTTTTCGTATTCCGGAAAATGCGTCCGTTTTGTTTGTGGTGTGCAAACGGAGCCAACATTGCTGCGCTACTCTTCAGCGATCACGCAACAAAAAATAGTGGGGAGTTGTTGGCTCTAAAGTTTGACCGGTTTTAAACTTGGCGCACCCGCTCCCAGAAACACACAACATTTAACAGGATGTGCAAACGGACGCAACACGTAACATTCAACAATGCTGAGAGATGTTGGCAAACAATGTTGCGTCCGTATGCACGTGGCTAAGATCCGAGCACGGCTACATACGTGGCGAAACATCACTGAAAACTGAATACTCGTTCCACTCACACTTTGTCGGGTCTTTGTCAAAGGTAGGCGAACTCCCCTAAAGTTGAATTCCTGAGATCCACATCCAAGCTCCGAAAGAGAAAGAAAACTTCGTCGTTGCTTGTTTACGTCCCCGATAAAAACGTGAAATTAGGCATTTTCACTCTTTATTCGTGCAGTGACGTCAAAGGAATCTGCGAAAAAAAGTGTGCTGCACGTGCAAAGTTGTTGTTTTGCTCATTAAACCTATTGCTTTGTTGACATTCTCGTTGCTGTCGCCTTCGTCGATCTTAAGGTCCCCGTTTGCCGACGACGAACGACACAGTTTCTCAGTTCTGTGGCTCTTCCTTGCGTTGAGATTCCACTGTATTTGTAGTGTTTCTTTTTTGGGGTTTCTTTTCGTTTGTTTGCTTGTTGTTTTTGTCGCGTTTTTTGTTGTTGTCGCTGTTGTTGTTGTTTTTTTTTTCAGAATGTCAGAGCATATTATCTTCAATTTTGTCTTTTGTCCCAGTACAGCAGTGAAATGATTCAACAGTGCATTAAAATTATTATAACTCGGTCATATACAATTAGCTTTATATTTATAAGATCTTATAACTCCACACGTCCACTCCACAAGCGTTTGTGAAGTTGCGAGTTCGCACAGTAAAGCATTTGTCACCCAAGGTGTGTGCGAGACTGGGGCATTTGTGAATTTTCGGCTTTCTTTAAAACCGTCATAGTTTTAAATTTGTTCCCGAAGTTTAGCTTGCGCCCCAGACACTCTTACTGATGGCTTAGGGGATGCGTACAGCTGTGCTTAGGCCGGCTGCAACACAGGCTATTGAAATTATGCAACTTAAATCATTCGAGATGATACCTTGTTCAACAGTCAAGCCGAGCTGTGAATGACATCACTACAGCAAATAAGACAACAAACAAGAAATATAGCTTTTTCAGTTAAAGAGTATTTCGCTTAAAATTTCTCATTCCTCCAAAGAGAGAGAGAGTGTCTGGCAAATTGTTTCCAATCAAAGATTTGTGAATGATAAACTCGAGTCTGGAAACTCTCTCAAAGTTTTTATATATACACAGTTATACACAACTTATAACTTCATAAGCGCTTAACGAGTGTCTTTTGGTCCACGACTTTCAAGACTGCTGCTCATGTAGCAGCTGCTCGGAATAGCTGCGGTGCGTTTCCATGACCCCAGACAATACTGAAACAATTGGAAGAATGACATGTCATTGTTTCCTGCGACCAATTAGGAGAGACCTTACGAACAGCTCCTACACTACTCAGGTCCCACACGTAATGCAAAAGAGTATCGAGGTATGACTGTACAATAAGCAGTGGCGGATCCAGGGGAGGGAGGGGCCCGGCCACACCGGTCTCCTCCACTCCCCCCTTATTTTTAGACCAAACTGAGGTCAGAAGGGCCGAGACAAAAATTTGGAGACCGGGCCCCCCTATTCTCAGGGTCTAGATGACCGCCCTCCCCCCCCCTCCCTTTATCTCAAGGTCTGGATCCGCCACTGATAAGTGTCACAAATCAACCTAAGCGGGTTTCAGGGATTTTCTTGTTTACGTCATCCTAACCATCTCTTACTTGCGGGAGAGAACGATAGAAACGTCATCATTACCCTACGATTCCATGCGGCTCCTGATCAAGCAAATCGAGATTTTTTGTGGTATCCTGACTGTATATTTCAACTGCAAGCACTTTTCTATATACATGTATACGCGCGAGCTACTAGGATGCCTCCTCGGGCCTGTGGGACCACAATGTCTACAATATAGGTCACGTGATGTAGGTCACGTTGTAGGTCAAGGGACATGCGGCCCTTTGTCTTTTTATAAATTAGGCGTATTTTCATGCACGGAATAAGACGAAATTTGAAAGGAAAAGTTCTCTGGAGTATTAACACATGACATGACCTACATTACATCAGCAAAACAAAACATACCGTCTGAAAAGTTTAAAAAAGCTTTCTATTTATAACCATGCAGTTTGGGAGGGAGTGGAGGGTGTCACGTTCCGTTCCTCCTCGGTCTTTCTTTGCTCTACCCTGGGTACCAGAGGTTTTTCTCGCGTGTGGTGGGAATCTTCGGCCGTAGGCCGAAGCCGCGAGAAAAACGCGGGTCACTATAAAGACTTGACAGAAATCGGAAACCGCGCTAGAAAAGTCTCTGGCACCCAGGGTATCTTTGCTCCGAAATCACACAGAAACGCTTGCTTCGCAAGCTACCGAGGCACAGACTACGTACAACAAAAGAAACAATACAACCAATCAATAAAGCCCCCGGGAGAACTCTATTGTCTGGTTCCTTTATTTCTTTTGTAATGACGGTACCCACAGAGAGACGCAACAAGCTTCTTTTGTGAAATTTATACGACTACAAGAAAGCAACTCGAGGTGACTGGTTTCTTGCGACGTACTTCTGAAGATTCGCAATCTCGATTTGTCGCCACAAAAAAATGATAATTTTTCTGGACATATTTACTGGTAAGCTTAATGATCCTTATTTACTTTACAGATTTTAACTCCAGAGGTCCGTTCTCAGTATACCTAAAATGAAATAAACCGTGCTTACCGTTTGAATAACTGAGGAAAAAGTGCTGCCCGGTAATGACATCTGAAAACAGTCGGACTTGATAAACTTTGTGGAACGTTGAAGAACCCACTGAGGGAAACAGTTAATTTTGTTTCCCGAGGCACAGCCGAAGGAAACGTCGAGGTTCGATTGTTAATATAGCTAAAAAATTGGAGCTGGAAACTCATTAAACCTCGCTGTAATGGCGCTCGTCGGTCAAAATTCGCGGGTATGCCACCACGGCGACGGCGACGGCAACGAGAACTTCAAAAACCAATTGGTTAAGAGGGAGTTTAAGATACCACGACTTGGACGGCTGCAAAAACGTCGCTTAAAAAGTGACTTCGCGAACTATGAAACTTTAGTGCGATTATCCCAACTCGGTCACAATGTTTTAAGCCTGGTTTCCATATGATC